TTTTGTTTTGAGACCGTTTCGCTCTGTCGCCCAGGCTGGAGTGCAGTGGTGCAATCCTGGCTCACTGCAGCCTCAACCTCTTGGGTTCAGGCAATCCTCCCGCCTCAGCCTCCAGGGTAGCTGGGACTGCGGGTGCGCACCACGATGACCAGCTAATATTTTTTATTTTTGTAGAGATGAGGGCTCACTATATGACCCAGGCTGGTCTCGAACTCCTGAGCTCAAACGATCCTCCTGCCTCGGTCTCCCACAGTGCTGGCATGACAGGCGTGAGTCACTGCACCCACCATGCCCTGTTTCTTGAATCCGCCCCTGAACTTAATCCTCATTCTGCCCGGGTCACTCGTATGACCTGAGCAGCAATCGACTAGGTAAGGCAGAGCCACCCAGTTGCAGACCTTGCTGTGTTGCTCTCATGGGAGGCGGGCTGCAAGGCTTTCAGGATGCAACAATGTTACAGGAACAAAAGAGGACATTTCAGTGATATTAGACTAGCTAATGCTTGCAAGGGTTGTTGCTGAGTAGAACTAAATTTGAAGGCTGCTTGAAGTTTTTTCTTTCTTTCTTTTCTTTTTTTGAGTTGGAGTCTCACTCAGTAGCCCAGACTGGAGTGCAGTGGCCGCTCCTGGCCATCGCAGCCTCAACCTGCTGGGCTCTGGCGATCATTCCGCCTCAGCCTTCCAAGTAGCTGGAATTACAGGCACGTGCTACCATGCCCAGCTGATTTTTTTATTTATTGTAGAAACGAGGTCTCGCCAAGTTGCCCAGGCATGTCTCAAACTCGCAGGCTCAGGCAATCCACTCGCCTCAGCCTCCCAAAACAAGGGATTACAGGCTGAGCCACCAAGCAAGCCTGGCCAGCTGCTTGAATTTATTTATTTTTATTTTTATTTATTTTTTGAGTTGGAGTCTCACTCTGTTGCCCAGACTGGAGTGCAAGTAGCCGCTCTTGGCCACCGCAGTCTCGACCTGCTGGGCTCCGGCAATCTTTCCATGTAGCCGGAATTACAGGCATGTGCGACCACGCCTGGCTGATTTTTTGATTTATTGCAGAGATGAGGTCTCGCTGCCTAGGCGGGTCTCGAACCCGCGGGCTCAGGCAATCCACTCACCTCGGCCTCCCAAAGGTACAGGATTACAGGCTGAGTCACCGAGCTGGGCTTGCTTGAATTTTCCCCTTCGTTCCCTCACGGCCCCTGGAAAGTGGCTCTCCTGCTCTCTGCTGGCTCGATTTGGCCGACAGGCCTGAAATACCAATCTTAGCTAATACTCAGTTGCTGGTATCGGAGGAGAAACAATCATCTATTTCAAAGCACCTGCCAAGAACAACACAGCCCTCAATTGTTCAAAGGAATCTGAAATTAAAGGAATGAAAAGAAGCCAGGTGGAGTGGCTGACCCTGTCATCCCAGCACTTTGGGAGGCAGAGGCAGGAGAGCCTGAGCCCAGGGGCTTGAGACCAGCTTGGGCAACTTGGTAAGACATCACTACAATAAATCAAAAAATTAGCCAGACACAGTGGTGCGCACCTGTGGTTCCGGCTGCTTGGAAGGCTGAGGCGAAAGGATGGCCAGAGTCCAGCATGTCGAGGCTGCGGTGGCCATGAGCGTGCCACTACCCTCCAGCCTGGGTGACAGTGAAACTCTGACTCAAAAAAAAAAAGATGGATGTCGTCAGACACACGACGATGTGGTCTGCGTCAGCTGATTAGAAAAGGTACTGAGTAATGGTCAGGAGACACTTAAACGGTTCTTATCAAGAGTCAGGATGAGGCCAGGCTCGGTGACTCAGTCTGTCATCCCAGCACTCTGGGAGGCCGAGGCAAGTGGACTGCCTCAGCCCACGGGTTCGAGACCAGCCCAGGCAACTTGGCGAGACCTCGTCTCTACAAGAAATCAAAAATTAGCCGGGCGTGGTAATGCACACTTGTAGTTCCAGCTCTTGGAAGGCTGAGACGGAAGAATCGCTGGAGCCCAGGAGGTCGACGCTGGGGTGGCTGTAATTGTGCTCCTGGGCGACGGAGTGAGACTCCAACTCAAAAAAAAAATGCCTGTTTTCCTAGAAACAGCTGACGTGAGGTCTTCCCAGTGACTACACAGATCTGATCCCCGATCCCTAGTTCCAGGATAAACGCCCCCTCTCTCCCAGCTCTGTCTCTGGTGCCTGGCTGCTAGGGAAGTAGCCAAATTGTCGGGTCAGGCCCTAAAAACGGCATCGGCGGGGAGGGCGGGATGGAAGGAGCACGAGGGTCACGGCTGAGGTACGTGACCCACTGACGGGCACGGCAGGTGCCCCGGGTCATGACGATGATGTCACAGTGTGTGCGCTGCTGTGGCTCCGGAGAGGTGTGTCCAGGACCCTTGGGAGGGGATGAGACCAGACCTGGCCGAGAGTCCCGTCCCCAGCTGTGGACCAGCCATCCCCGGCAGCCAAGGCGGGTGGCCCCGAGCCCTCGCTGGCCCGTCCAAGTGTCTCTCTCAAGGAGTCAGAACCGGCACCAGCAGCTGCGATGGCGGCAACCTGGGCCCAGGCACCCAGGCCAGTGAGAGGCGCAGGAAGACCCGGACGGCCCAGAGGGAATGGGGCCGGGGCCTGTGAGTCAGGGGAGTGAGAGCTTGCAGCTCCCAGCTGGGGGTCCCTGGGGTCGGATGCCAACCCACCGTGAGACAGGAAGCCGCTACGATAAATTATACCACATCCCCCCCTTTAATTTTTATTTTTTTATTTTTTTTGAGTTGAAGTCTCACTCTGTCGCCTAGACTGGAGTGCAGTGGCCGCTCCCGGCCACTGCAGCCCTGCCCTACTGGGCTCCGGCGATCCTTCCGCCTCAACCTTCCAAGAGCTGGAACTACAGGCACGCGCTACCAAGCCCGGCTGATTTTTTGATTTATCGTAGAGATGAGGTCTCGCCAAGTTGCCCAGGCGGATCTCGAACCCGCAGGTTCAGGCAATCCACTCACCTCAGCCTCCCAAGGCACAGGATTGCAGGCTGAGACACCAAGCCTGCCTCTCCCCCCTTATATTGAGTCGGTGGTCTCTGTCACCCAAGTTAGAGTGCAGTGGCACAATCACTGCTCACCACAGCCTCCAACTCCTGGACTCGGGCTATCCTCCCACCTCAGCCTCCTGAGTAGCTGAGTCTACAGGCACACACCACCACACCTTGCTGACTTTTTGGTTTTTGTAGAGACGAGGTCTTGCTATGTGGACCAGGCTGGTCTCGAACTCCTGAGCTCAACAATCCTCCGCCTTGGCCTCCCAGAATGCTGGGATGGCAGACATGAGCCACCACGTCCAGCCCCCAACCATCACTCCCGAAGCGACCGGCCTCCTGGGATCACGCGGGGAGCGCTGCTGACCTGGGAGCCAGCCTTTCCTCACCCCTGGCCACAAGGGGTGGCCGAGATGGGGGCCCCAGCATCCCCTCCCTGAGAATTTAAAACGGAGAATGCGACACTTTGCTCTCCGTCGAGGTAATCCTTGAATGTGGGAAACGTGAGGTTTGCAGCGGAGAGGGCCACCCACTGCCCCGTGAGGAAGAGGAGGAGGAAGTGAGGAGGGAGGGGGAAGCAGGGAGGATGGAAAGCCCCAGACTGTGGAGGGAAGGCCCTGAGACCCGGGGGGCGCCGGGGGCCAGGGAGGAGCCCAGAACAGGGAAGAGCACAAAGCCAGGGAGGAGTCCCAGGCCAGGAGGGAGTCCCAGGCCAAGGAGGAGTTCCAGATCAGGGAGGAGCCCAAGACCAGGGAGGAGCCCCAGGCCTAGAGGGAGTCCCAGGCCAGGAAGGAGCCCAAGACCAGGGAGGAGCCCCAGGCCAGGGAGGAGCCCCACTGGCTGGGGACATCACTCCCACTTTGCCGGGTTTGTACCTGCGCTGACTATGGCACCTTCTGCGACTTGGAACCAAAGCCCCCGGCCCCCCAGGGCCCGCCGCTCACCCAGGGGCGGTGGACTGAGAAGCGAGTTTTGCGCCCACGGCCTCACCTGCTTTGTCAGGTCCCGAATCATCTGAGGGAGAAAATACTCCTCCACCTGCCTGGAAGGGAAACACGCAGAGGTGAGGACGACCGGCTGGGGCAGAGAAAAGACGGCGTCTGCGTGGACACAGAAGTCCAGCTGAGAGCTTCGCACCCAGGCAGCCGCAGAGGAGCCGTCATGTGGCCACGCGATGCTGTGGCTTACAGAGAAGAGTGTGATGGTAACTTGAAGGCCCCACGGGTGTCACGGTGTGCCGGGCTCTCGGGGCCTCTGGTGGCCTCAGTCTCCCATTCTCTGACGCGTGGCTTTCCTGAGATGCATCCTGTGCCCCCAGGGAGAAATCTAGGGGTGATGCCTGACCAGGGACTGGATCAGAACGAAGCCTGCGGCACTGACCCTCGAAGCACTGACCTCCCCCGCCATGGCACTGACTCCACACGCAATCACGACTCATGATCGTGGCTGAAATAACGACGCTCCCTGTTCACAAGACGGGAAGGAGGGTTTAACTCACAACTCCAATACCTTCAATACACGGTGCTAAAAGCTAGAATCTTCTTTTTTTTTTTCTGGTAGGGTCTTGCTCTGTAGCCCAGGCTGCGGTGCAGTGGCGTGATCATGGCTCATGGTATCCTCAAACTCCTGGGCTCAAGCAATCCGCACGCCTCAGCCTCCCAAAGAGTTGGGACTACAGGCAGAGTTGGGACGACAGGCATGGCTACTTTTTTTTTTTTTTTTTGGTAGAGATGGAGTCTTGCTATGCTGTTCAGGCTAGTCTCAAACTCCTGGTCGCAAACGATCCTCCCGCCTCGGCCTCCCAAAAGTGCTGGGATTACAGGCATGAGCCACTGCACCTGGCCTTCTCAGTTCTTAAGATGGACTTAAGGATCACTGATTTTGAGTCTTCCTTCATGTCTAATGTAGCGCTTAAGAATTCATATTTCATGATAAATGCCATTTGGTGCTTTTTAAAAAAATTTTTTTTAGTTGGACTCTCCATCGCCCAGGCTGGAGTGCTGTGGCACACTCACAGCCACCCCAGCATTGACCTACTGGTCTATGGCAATCCTTCTGTCTCAGCCTTCCAAGTAGCTGGAACTACAGGCATGCACTATTATGCCAGGCTAATTTTTTTTTTTTTAATTGTAGAGATGAGGTCTCGCCACGTTGCTCGGGCTGGTCTTGAACCCGCGGGCTCAGGCAATTCACTCACCTCCCAAAGTGCTGGGATTACAGGCTAAGGCACCAAGCCGGGCCCATTTGGTGCTTTTTAAATCATTAAATTAAAAAGTACGTTTAAATTTTCATGACTTTCCTCTGTGGCTCACACATTATTTGTAACTATGATTTTTTTAAATTCCCAAACATGGAGCTTTCCAGGTACCATTTTGACAGAGATCTTTACACGTCAATGGGGTCAGGGAATGCAGATTGTGTGAAACCAAACAGAGGTCATTAAGAATCACTATACAGACCCGGGTTCAGTGGCTCAGCCTATAATCCCGCACCTTGGGAGGCTGACGTGAGTGGATTGCCTGAGCCTGCAGGTTTGAGACCCGCCTGGGCAACTTGGTGAGAGCTCATCTCTACAATAAATCAAAAAATTAGCCGGGCGTGATAGCGCGCACCTGTAGTTCCAGCTACTTGGAAGGCTGAGGTGGAAGGATCGCCGGAGCCCAGCGGCGAGTTGAGGCTTCGGTGGTTGGGAGTGGCCACTGCACTCCAGTCTGGGTGACAGAGTGAGACTCCGATTCAAAAAAAAAAAGAATCACTATACAGGGCCGGGTGCGGTGGCTCAAGTCTATAATCCCAGCACTTTGGAAGGCCAAGGCGAGTGGATTGCCTGAGCCTGCAGGTTCGAGACCAACATGGGCAATCTGGTGAGACCCTGTCTCTACAATAAATAAAAAATTAGCCGGGCTCGGTGGCTCAGCCTGTAATCCCTCGCCTTTGGAGGCTGAGGTGAGTGGATTGCCTGAGCCCGCGGGTTCGAGGCCCGCCTGGGCAAGCAAGACCTCATCTCTACAATAAACCAAAAAATCAGCTGGGTGTGGTAGCGTATGCCTGTAGTTCTAGCTGCTTGGAAGGCTGAGGCGGAAGGATCGCCAGAGCCCAGCAGGTAGAGGCTG